TTCCCTGAGGCCTTACTTCACTTCAGCTTACCTGTCATTGTGCAGAATTTGTCACATGGTCACAACTAGCTGTAAGCAAAAAAAAAAAAAAAATTCAGCCTTCTCGTTGGATATCAGTGTGCCCAACTAAAAATTTCTGGATTCTTTTCGTAAAGGAGAAGGGGAGAATTGACATTAAGAGGAAACTAATGGTCTCCTGCTGTGTGAGGAACAGGCTGAAGAGGAGAAGGACCAAGGCGGGGAGGCCTTGGGAGGGAACCATGGAGGCCTGGACTCAGAAGTAGAGGAGGAGATGGGGAGGAGCAGACAGCTGAAAGCAGATTTGAAAGAGGAACCGCAGGGCACTGGGCATAGGAAGGTGCAGTGAAATCAAGCAGGTCTCCCGGTCTTTGAGTTTGAGGGGTTGAGCCAATGTGGAAGACAGGAGAGAGCAGGAGGGGCGGGGGCCCAGGGGGTGTTGCTGCCAGCACAGGACCCCTCCCAGCCCGCAACGGGAAGGCCTAGACCCCTGGGCTGTCTGCTGGAGAATCCCAGGAAATCATCTATCCCAGATGTCCCCAAGCTGTAGAATGCATCCCACTGCAGTGGGACCCATTAAATTCCAGGCCACACATGGAAGCTCAAACGTGGGAGCACAGTAGTTTTGTGGCCTCGGTTTGTAAATTGCACCCTCTTGAGTGTCCTCCTGCAAAGCCTGTTGTGGCTCCAGGGCCCCTACATTAGCGTGTGATCCTCAGGTCCAGGGAAGGTCTTGCCTCATAGGCGTCCCCTACCCTGCTCTCGGGTCCTGACTTGTTCTGACTCAGCTGCTCCACAGATCTGCAGAAACCATGAAGGTGGGGCCCAAAGAAGGAAGTTTGGAAAACTCTTGCCAGGTCCACCACCCGCATTCCTCAGATGGGAAAGTACCCCGAGATTGCCCGAGGTCAGCCAGGCGCGAGGAGCAGGATCGCTGCAGGTCCCTGACTCATAGTCCTTGCACTGTTTTTAGCCCCAGGTGGAGGCGCCGCCCCTGCTCACCCACCTGTTGCTGCCCTGAGTCATCCCTGCCTGCCTGGGGCACCCAAAGCCCAGGCCCCAGGGCTGGCTTTCCAGGTCACTGCTGCCAGGGGGGCTCGGACAACCTTCATGCCCGGTGAGGGCGAAGTCAGACCCCAAGGACTGGGGTGTTGGGGATACTGACCCTTGGGAGCTGGGTCAGGTCAGCATGGGGACTTGATCTTCCAGCCTCTGCACCATTGTAGCTTCCTTCCTAGGACAGGCAATGGGAGGGGGCACAGCTGCCAGAACTTTCTCACCGCCCTTCTGCAGTGGACAGGCTCTGACATGTAAATGGCACCTTAGCTGGACAGCTCAATTCTGGATGAGCTTTGGCCTCACACTTCTTTTGTATAGACCTTTTGTTGGCCACAAAACTTCCAGATGCTGACCTCATTTTCTTTGTGTCTCTCCCATCCCCAAGGATGCCTGCAGACTTTCAGTACCTCCCACTCACTTCTAGAGCCACGTGCCATGGGCTGGGCAATCAGTCTCTCTCCTCTGGCCTAATCAGAGGGTTGGGAGTTGAAGGGGTTTGCGGCAGAATAACTGTCTAATAATAATACTGCATGCAGCCAGGCGCTGTGGTGCATGCCTGTAATCCTAACACTTTGGGAGGCCAAGGTGGGTGGATCACCTGAGGTCGGGAGTTCGAGACCAGCCTGACCAACATGAAGAAACCCCGTCTCTACTAAAAATACAAAATTAGCTGGGCATGGTGGCATATGCCTGTAATCCCAGTTACTTGGGAGGCTAAGCCAGGAGAATCTCTTGAACCCCAGAGGCAGAGGTTGCAGTGAGCCGAGATCATGCCACTGCACTCCAGCCTGGGCAACAAGAGCAAAACTCTGTCTCAAATTAATAGTAATAATGTACACATGAATAAAATATCCCAATTCTGGAGAGCCCATGAAATCGGGGAGATGGTAGGCCTGGTGTATGCCACTCCCAGACCCCAGTGGGGTCTCGGTCTCTCTACTTGGCTCCAGGACTCATGCAGGCTGAAAGCAGGGGTAAGGCAGCTGGAGGAGGGCCCCCAGCTCCCTGCCTCCACCTCCTCCAGTGCTGAGCATCTTGTCTCGGGCCTGGTAGTAGTCAGGGTCTCTGTGAGTGTGAGTGGCAGAAACTAATGGGACGGGGCTCACAGGCCAGGTCACATGAAGGGTAAGGGGATCCAGCCTTGGGGACCTAAATACCATGACACTTCCCTGCTTCTTTCTGGTAGCTTTATTCTGAGAGGCTTCTCCATGGGTTGGGGGACATTGGTCTCAGTGATACTAGTGGCTCTGGGGCCACATCCTCCTAAGCTTCCCCCTTTGAAAAATCCCAGGGAAAGACTACAGGTGGCCCAGCATGGTCACATGCCCACCAGCCACCTCCTCCACTCATTGACCCTCTTCCTTGCCTTGGCATCTAACACCTGGTTCCCAGGGCCTGGCATGGACTGGAAGCTGGCCTGGGCTCCACAGGACTCAGGGTCCAGCACACTCCTGGCCCAGCCCTGTGCTCCCAGCCATGCCTCTCCCTGTTGCTGGGACATCTCGCAGTGCCACTCAGCTGGTGCACACCCTGAAGCATGGTGCCCCGGGCAGGCAGTGGTCACTAGGCAGGGATGTTCTCAGGGCCTGCAAGGATTCAGCCAGGGACAGAGGGCCACTCGGGTGGTGGTCAGCTTGCACTTTGGTTAGGAGAGTGGTCTGAGCAAAGTCCTGTCAGCCACAGAGACATGTGAAGAGCAAGAAGACAGGGTATGTCTGGTGCCGGGGCTGAGACAGGGGTTTGCTGTCCTCAAGACAGCGTCTAGAGGTTTAGGTTCCTCTAGAAGCTTCCCTGAGACAAGGATTTGGGTGAGACAAGGAGTTTATTTGAGAGGTCATTTCAGGAAGCACCGAGGCAGTGGGGAAGCCACACAGGAAGGGAGGGAAGCCATGAAGGGGAACTGACGGGTGGCCTGCCACGTTGGCAGCTGGGGCTCCATCGTGTGGGATCCTGTCTGACTGTGTAGCTTGTCTCAGAATTGCCTCCCTGGGAGGGCAAGGAAGCCGGGGTATTTGCCCATTCCTGTCTGTCCTGGGCACCGACTCCCAAACTGTGCAGCCAGCTATACACCCGAGGCAGTGAGCTCCATGGGCAGAGGCAGGAGGGTGGCCCGGGCAGCACCTGCTCTGCTCTCACCTCCTCCAAGTTGGACGCTAAAGGCTGTGGCTGCCTCAGATGGAGCGCAGATCTTCCTGGGCAAGGCCAGTTCAACTGTGGTCTAGACCCCTCTACCAGGCACTGTCGGCCATCCAGGGTGCTCTCGGCACAGGGGGATCTGATCACAGAGGGTGGGCCTGGAGTCCGAAGGCACCTCATCTTGAGTCCCAGCCCTGCCACTCACCATCGGGTTGTGAAGTGAGTGTCTTCCTCTCTGTGGCCCTCAATTTCCCCACTGTGAAGTGGGGATGGTAATACTGTATTAGCTGTGCCACAGCAATGCCGTCTAACAAGCCTCTCCTAAACCCAGCCACTTAGTTCTGCTGCAGATCAGAGACCCAGGGCAGGCTCCACTCTGTCCCGTATCCCACCCCCAGGACACCAGCTCCCCAGGTCCGCTTCCCAGGATGAATGACAGAGCCTCATGGCGATGGCAGGGCCCATGAGGACCAGCAGGAAAATGGCCTCTCAAGGAGCTGGCACAGTGCCACTCCTGCACCATTCTGTGGACCGTGGCGAGTCCTGTGCCATACTCAACATCAAGCAGACAGGAAATGTACAGTGCCTTTAGCAGGAGGAGCTGAAGAGGCACAGGACAACGGGTGTGGGCAGAGGAGGGGTGAAAGGCCCAATGACACAGCTCCTGCCACTCGCTCTTGAGGTGGGGGAGGTTCTGAGGACGGAGTGTGTCCACCAAATCCTTTGTACACTAAGTACTACTCCCGTGTGCAAGGTGGCAGTGACAGTGCCGTCCTGGGATGTCTCCAGGAGCCTTCTTGTCTTCAAAGACCACCACACGCCTGGTTGTGATGTTACATGCATGTGATTGTAGTCTTTGAAAACAGGTGACCCTACTTTGATATTCAGGATGAGGGGAAGGGGAAGAATCCTGTTAATTATGCAGTACTTTTTCTGTAATTTCAAGAAGGCTCAGCCTACACTTGTGCACCTTAAGCAAATTCAGCTACACCCACTCAGACAAGGAGGAAGGGAGGAGGCAGAGGAGGAGAGCGCTCCAAGCTCATTACCTGTCCTTTCCCATTCCCATGTTTCACCTGACCTAGGGGCTTCCCCTGCCCCCAGAGAAAGGTAGGCCCCAGGTCACAAACAAATCAAGAAAAATTAATAAAATGGCCTTTGACTTTGAGCAATCCAAGGACCAAAGTTCTTGAGATTTAATGTTGGCATGAGATATTTTTGCCATCTGCACTCACTTGGCAACCAGCCCCTCCCCTCCCCCAGTCCTGAGGCACAGCCCCCACTGTGGCCCATCCCTCAGCTAACCAGAATTCTCCACCGAAACACCTGCTCCTCCACATAGCCCAGTTCTAAGGACTCCATTCCAGCCTGTGTAAGAAGTGTAGAAAATTACAACTCAGCAAAGAACATTGATTTTTTTTTTCTCCCCCAAACAAAATAACTGTGTTTTCAGGATGAAAGCAGAGCTGCTGGTTGAGTTGGAGGGTGGAGAACAGAGCCCAGCCCACTCTCCCTTCCTGCCCCGGAAAACTCTGGGGCCCCATGGGCTGTGGCTTGGAGCTCTTGCTTTAGGATGTCCATGTGGTAGAAGGCCCCACAGGCCCCATGAACCCCGACTGTGCATGCTCAGGTTGTGGCCCTGCCCAGAGCAGGCTGTGAGCTGAGCCGTGGTCCTGCCACCCTGGCTGGGCCCTCATCACAGTCCCAGCCAGGGGAGAGCCCTTGGCTGGCAGGGGTCTTCTGTCCCCACCGAAGTCTCAAAGCCCACCATCCACCTCTCCTTACAGGCTGACGCCAAGATGGTGTGCGACGTGGTGAGTCGGATGGAAGACACCGAGCCCTTCTCTGCAGAGCTGCTTTCTGCCATGATGCGGCTCTGGGGCGACTCAGGAATCCAAGAGTGCTTCAACCGGTCCCGGGAGTATCAGCTCAACGACTCTGCCAAATAGTGAGTGTCCCGGCGGGCGCACAGTCTGGAGCCGGGCAGTGATGCGGGAGTGGAAGGGGACTGGCGATGGGGATTGGCAGAGCAAGGATTCTCGTCTGAGGTCATGCCTGCCGGGAGATGTTCTACTACAGGTAGGGGGTGTCAGGAAGGAATGAGAAGGGGCCTCTCTTCCTGCCCCCCACAGGAGAAGGAAGAGGCCAGAGAAGGCAGAGGACACAAGAGACAACCACACAGTGGAAATTCCCAGAGGGCGGGACCTTGTCACTGGCCTGTCCCAAGGAGTGCCTGGCATTGCAAAAAGACGGCTTTCAAGTGTAGCAGCTTTGGTTTTTCATGGGGAGCCCCTGACCCCATAAATACAAACCAAACCAACAGCCATACAGGGAGAAAATAAATGGTGCCATTTTGTTTTATTTTAGAGAAAATAATAAGTTTTCCATTCCCTTATCTTCAAAATTAAAAATAAGGGCCAGGCGCGGTGGCTCAAGCCTGTAATCCCAGCACTTTGGGAGGCCAAGACGGGTGGATCACGAGGTCAGGAGATAGAAACCATCCTGGCTAACACGGTGAAACCCTGTCTCTACTAAAAATACAAAAAACTAGCCGGGCGAGGTGGCAGGCGCCTGTAGTCCCAGCTACTCGGGAGGCTGAGGCAGGAGAATGGCGTAAACCCGGGAGGCAGAGCTTGCAGTGAGCTGAGATCTGGCCACTTCACTCCAGCCTGGGCGACAGAGTGAGACTCCGTCTCAGATAAATAAATAAATAAATAAATAAATAAATAAGGAATATGTAGGTCTAATTAATATAATAAATGTATACTTTAATACTCTGTTATAACTAAATAAGGGAGATGACAGGAGGGCAGGAGGATGGAAGGAGGAAAGGAAGGGGACAGAGGGAGAAAGAAGAGGAGAGAAGAGAAGATGGAGAAGTGGGAAATGGTAAAAGCCGGAGCTGGTTAGAAGGTGCTCCCGGCTCTTCCCATGACCGCAGGTCACAGGTCCATTGGCTGCAGCTTTATCACTCTAGGCATCTCCAAGGAAATCCTCACTGCTTCCGTGCCCTTGGCCCTAGATTGGAGGCTCCAGAGCCCGGGGATGGTCAGTGTCGGTCAGGGACATGTCTTCTGTCATGGAGACACTGGGATTGCCCCCTTGGCTTTTGGGAAACACACCCCACTTTTGCAATTGCAATCTGGTACCCATACATTCAGTGGGGACTTTCTGCAAGGAGCCTCTGCACTTTACCCCACTGGCTGGGAAGACTCTGACATGATCCAGTCCAGCCATTTTCACCAGGTCTTCTCAGCTGGGACCAATTTGCCTCCAGGGGACATTCAGCAACATCTGGGGACATTTTTGATGGCTGCAGCTAGAGTGGTTCTCCCGGCAGCTAAAGTGGTGCTCCCGGCAGCTAGAGTGGTGCTCCCAGCCTCTAGCAGGTAGAGGCCAGAGATGCAGTTAAACATCCCGCAGTGTGCAGGATGGCCCCCACAACAAAGAGTTGCATGGCCCCAGACATCCATAGTGCCAAGATTAAGAAACCCGGATCTACGCAGTGCCAACAGACAATGGCTGAGGCCAATGTTCACTCCTGGACATTTCCACAGGCCACATGGCAGCCAACAGACTAGGGGCTTGAGCAAGGCCAGGAGCAGCTTCCCATTTCTGCACACCTAGATTGACCACAGGGCAAATGCCAAAGTCCTGTGAGTTCCAGGTGATGACTACTTAGGTCCCTGGGCCTGATGAGCTCCCAGGGACATCCTGGGGGTCAGGGCAGTGAGCCCAGAAGCTCAGTGTCCACCATTCCGTATGCTCAAATCACAGACCAGAGCCAGGCAGGAGAGAGTGACTTTCAGCTGCCCTCCTCCCTTCTCCCACTCCTTGTCCCTGCCCTGCCTCCTCCCCAAGAGTCAGCAAGACCCTCAGGGGCCTTTAGGGCCAGCTGGCCCAAATCTGCCTTCTAGTGGCTCACCAAATCCTGCTCTCCACTTACATTTTTACCCATTTCACTAATTATAACATGAATCCATTACAAAAAAAAAAAAATTTAAACAAATGCAGAGGCATAGAAAATGAGAAGCAATCTTCTTCCTACTCCCCTCACCAGCCCTGCCCCTCCCACTTTTACCCACTTCCATTTATTTGTCCCAGTGGCATCCAGAAAAACTTGATCCTCCGACTCAAAATAGTATTTACGGCCACCCACTCTGGAATCAAGGGAGCTCAGCTCACCTTCCTTCCTTCCACCGCTCTCCACCTTCACCTCCGGCTTTTTGCTAGTTACAGGATTATTTTTAGTTCTTCCGGTGCTTACCTTTATAACTTTAAATAAGAAACTTGAGTCAGTATTTGTCAACTCCCTACCAAGTAAGCTGAGGAAATTCTCCTCCCTGCAGCCTCGTCTCTGCCTTCTTTCAAATTTTCCACTTCCCAGGTTGATGATGTTACTATTCTCTTCTGTCACCATGGCTGGGCCTTCTGTGTCTCCTCTCTGGGAGAGGGCGGGAAAGGCAGGGGACACACAGGTGCTCAGGGCCGGAAGGGCCTGGCACGTTTCCTGTCTTAGCAGTTAGACCTCAGCTTCTGACAAAGTCTTGGGCCCAGTATAGAAAGCAGATCAGAGTAGGTTTGTTGTGCTGGAAAGGAGAGGGAGGCCTCACAGGGCTGCCACAGCACGTGCTTCCAGAGGGTGCCACTGACACCCTAATGCCCCAACCACCAAAGCACCTCTCTGCCCAGCCCTTCACAGGGGAGGGACCAGGGCACAGGCTCCTGACCAGGCTCTTCGTGCCCCCCGGCCTCTCTGAGCAGGGCTGACTCTCCCCTCTGGATAACCACCTAGAGGCGGGTCCCAGAAACCCTGAGCACATCCATCCAGGGGCTGTGAAAGGTACTCTGGGGCCTGGTTGGCGCTGGGTTTCCTCAAATCCAGTTCCCTACTGCGTTGTCCATGCTGGCATCCGAAGTTTCTTCTCCTCGCCTTCTCTCTTGACCCTACTCCTATCGGGCTCTTGCTCCTCCGCCTGCTGAGATGGCTCATAGCCCAGTCCTATCCTGGGGGCTGCTCCATCAGCCTCCTCCCACTCAGGGCTCAGGGTTCAGTCCCCCAGTACCTGGGACCTCCTTTCACTCCCAGCACCCTCCTCCTCTCGGGCTGCCCTTTCCAGACTCCCTCAATGCCTCCTGCCCACTCACCCAGGCAGTTGGTGACAGGGGAGGTCTGCTGGGGGCTGCTGTATCCTGTCCCCAAGCTCCATCCTAGAAGCACCTCCTGTCGAGGACTGGTGCCTGGTGACCTTCTCCTGTCTCGTTTTAAACACCTTGTACACTTGGACAACTCTCGAATTCATATCGCCAGCCCAGCCCTCCCTCCTGACTTCTGCCTGCTCAGTGTCTGTTTGAACATCAAATGAATCTCAAGTTAACATGAGCCCGTGGGACCCCTGGCTCCCATCCTCCCCATAGAACCTGCTCTGTGTGCTCCTCCCTCCCTGTACATGTGTCTCATTCCACCACTTGGAGATCTCTCTACCTCTGCTCATCCTCCTGTATCCCACACCCAGGCCACCAGCAGATGCAGCTCCTCTGGCAGGTACATCAGATGCTGACCACTCACACCCTCCACAACCACCCCCACTGTGCCAGTGCCATCTGGTGATGACAGCAGCTCTGCAGGCCCCACCCGCTGACCTGCTCTCTTGACAGCAGCAGGGCTGTTGTCAACATGCTTCTGGCCAGAACCCTCGAGGGGCTCCCGTCTCACTCAGAGTAAAAGCCCAAGCTCTCACAATGACCTCAAGGGCCTGCTTGCCCCAGCCGGACTCTGGCCACCCTCACCTCCACCACCTTTCCCAGCCTCACCCACCACCTGGCCCCTCCACGCGTGCTTCCTGCCGCCCCACCTGCCGGTTTTTCCACCGGGCCACTCGAAGCCCACTTGCTCCCTCATTCCCCTCAGTCTCCCCTGTCCAGACGCCTTCCCCAACTACCCTACATCAAATAGCAGCCCCCAGCAGGCCTCCCCCATCACTAATAGCCTGATTCGTTCTCTGACACTCCCTCCCGATGTACTGTATCTCTGACTCTCCTGTTTATCACCTCACACACGTGTGTACACTCCCCCGGAACGCAGGCCCTGGGAAGGTGGGGCTGTGTTGACTGCCCCATCCCCAGCTCCCGGAACAGTGGGTAGGTGGGATGGGCAGCAGGTGCGCAGTCAGCCTTCCCGACTGGGTTGCTAAGCAGTTCTCCCACACCTCACCCCACCCTCCACAGCCGTCTCCTTGCATGAGGCTCGGCCAGCACAGAGAGGCCATAGGGCCAGGTTGCCCGTCTAAAGATGGTTTGCCCTGGCTGGGAAAGGAAGAGCCGGACCAGACACTTCCAGGCTGGTGTCCAGCTGCAGATGCGGGGGACGCCCTCACAGCTTGGAAGCAGAGGTCATGGGCGCCAGGGCAGGGCAGGCACAGAGGCTTGGGAGGGGCTCCTTCTGGCTGAGACCAGAGCCTGCCCAGATACCACTGGCTGGCGAGGAGGCTGTGGGGCTGGGGGCACGTACAGGTCTGCTCTGCAGCCTTGGCTCCCTCACCCCCATCCCCACATCGTGCCCTTCCATGGAGGGCAGTCAGGCTCAGGAGAGAAGACCGGGAGTCCTGTTTAAATTTTTTTTTCTGGATTTTTTAAATGCTAATAGAGTCCAATTTAAGAGCATAGGGTCTGGAGCCAGTCAGAACTGGACTGGAATCCCAGCCAAGTTCATTTTTATTTTTTTTCCTTTTTTCTTTTTTTTCCGAGACAGAGTCTTGCTCTGTCACCCAGACTGGAATGCAGTGGCACGATCTCAGCTCACTGCACCCTCCGCCTCCTGGGTTGAAGCGATTCTCCTGCCTCAGCCTCCTGAGTAGCTAGGATTACAGGCGCCCAGCTAATTTTTGTATTTTTAGTAGAAACGGGGTTTCACCATGTTGGCCAGGATGGTCTCGAAATCCTGACCTCATGATCCACCCACCTCGGTCTCCCAAAGTGCTGGGATTACAGGCGTGAGCCACCACGCCCAGCTGCCAAGTTCATTTTCTCTCAATGTGACTTCAAGCTTACCTCCCTGAGCCTTGGAATCCACCCTTTTGTTTTCTTTTCTTAGCGGCATTCTCACAAGGATTGTCACTGGGTTCTATCAGTGAACACCCTAGCTGGTGACGGCATCTGCCCTTCCCAGCCCTGTGGACATTCATGAGCTGGTCAGCATGCCCATCTCTCATGCAGTGGTGACTGCAGGTCCAGCCAGCAAGCTGGCCCCTAGCAGGTCCTGGAGCAGATGCTCCACATCGTCCTGTGGTTCAGACACTCGGGGCTCCTCCCTGTGGGCTGCTTGTGGTTCACCCTGGCAGCTGGGATGGGTGGCCTGGCAGGCTCCATGGATCACTGAGTCTTCCTTCAGGCCTGGCCCAGCTCCCTACTTCCTGGTTTCCCAGATCCTACCTGGCTTTAGATTCAAACTTCACCCATAATGAACCCCAAAGCTCTTGCAGGCAGCATCCTCTCAGTGCTTGGCCTGAGGCCTGGGCAGGTGACATGCAAAGGCCTGGTCTGTTCCCACAGCAAGAGGGAGCAGGGATAGAGAGCCTTGATTCCAAAGACTGGGTCCCAGGGAGGCCCAGCCACTGTATGGCTGTGTAGCCCTGAGCCTCCAAGAGCGTCAAATTGGAAGGGGCACACAGACCCCTTGGTAAGTGAGAAGGAAGTGTGGAGAAGGCAGGGAGCTGCTCGGGGGCCTCCGAAGCCCCAGAGAGTAATAAAAGTATGGCCTCTGGGGCCAAGGGTCTGGGTCATGGCCTCAGGCGAAGTACTTACCTTCGTTGAGCCCCAGTTTTAGTACATTTAACTCGGAAATTACGTATGAAACACGGTTACACATGGAAAGAATAGAACCTATCTGTTGGCCGTTATTATTTTTTAAATGAAGAAATGACAAAACAGTATTATTGTAAACATGGTAGTCTCATATAAAAGGTTGACCTTGTCTAAGTGTCCCAGGAGCTGCGTGCGTAGCCCTTTTGGCTATGAATGAGAGTGTGAGGCCAAGACCTAAGACCCTCTTCCTCAGTCGCCCCCACTCCCTGTGGCCTGGGATGGAGGTGATATCATTTCCACAGTGACCTGGAGGGGCCCTGACTGAGACTGGACTCTGACGGTGGGTGGCCTGGCCAGTCCTGAACAATGTTCAGGCGTTTGGTCCATGGTCCCCTGTTTGTTGCTGTCCTCAGCTACCTGGACAGCCTGGATCGGATTGGGGCCGCCGACTACCAGCCCACCGAGCAGGACATCCTCCGAACCAGGGTCAAAACCACTGGCATCGTAGAAACGCACTTCACATTCAAGAACCTCCACTTCAGGTGAGGCCCAGGGAGGCCCCCAGGCCCTGGTGAGGGCTAAGAGGGGACATGCCCAGCCTCTCAGCGCATTTCGTCGGCAGCGCCCAAACATCATCCTGCCCCAGGGACCCCACGGGTTGGGGCAGGCAGCTGGATACCAGAGGAACCTGCCTGTGTTTCGGCCGAGTTTAGGGGCTGTGGTGCTCAGGGAGGCTTCCTTGGAGAAGATTCCCAGAGTGGGGCTGTGAGGAGGAGGGAGGGTTTGGACAAGGAGGGCAGCCCGTCCCTGAGGTGACTTCTGAGGAGGAGGAGGAGGTGGGCTACCAGGGGGCCCTTCCAAGATCACCTTATGGGGAGGGGCCGAGAGTGGGGCTGGGTAAGCCCAGGCTGCCACTGTGAGACCCTGAGGACCCACGTCACCCCACAGCTGGAAGGAGCAGAGCGAGCGGACCCACCTTCTCCTGGTATATGTGGGAAGCTGAGGCCTAACAAGAGCAGAACTTTCCTCAGGCACGGAGCGCAGCTAGAACCCAGGGGCTCTGGGCCTCAGAGCAGGGGCCTGATGGGTGAAGTGGTTCCCCGGGTCCTGCTGCAGTGCTGTGTCCCCACCTGCAGTAACCCGCATGCACGGAGGCCTGGGAGCCCTTGCTCCATCCTGCAGGGAACAGAGGCCAGCAGAGAAGGGGAGGGCAGGGACCCCCTGCAGGGAGAGCTGAATTCTAATATTCCCTGCTTCCCATGTCCCCAGCTCCCGCCCACTCCTGTTCAGACTGAGGGGCGGAGGCTCTGGGCCCAGGAACCCCTAGGCCTCCACGGATCTGGGAAGCAAAACCTTGGTCAGAGCAGGCCTGAGGGGCCTCCCTTGCCTTCCCAGGCTCCTTGGTCTCTCCTGCTCCTCCAATGGGAGCACAGGATGGGGATCTCAGCTCAACCTGGCCCAGCAAGGCAGGGTCTAAGAATAAGCATTCTGGAGGGGCCACAGAGGCCATCCACCAACGCCCCTGCATTACAGATGGGCAGGTGGAATCTAGGGGAGCCAGTGATAGAATGAGAAGCAGACCCATTCCTTGCTCTGAGCCCACTCTTAATCTCTGCCTGCAGTCGCTCTGTTGTGTCCAGTGGGACCAGGGATCCTTCCCTGTCCCCCTCTGGCAGGCTGTGTGTCAGCAGGCGTCCCAGATCTAGGAGGCTGCAGGGCTTCTCGCTCTGGGGATTGGGGTGGGAGACTGACCTTTTACTTCTAGGACATAAGTCCCACCTGCCCACAATCTCTCCCAGAGTTTTTGTGCCCCCTCGGGAGTAGAGTCTGAGAGGGGGAAGAGGCCAGGCTCTGATCTGCCAGAAAGGGGCCGTACTGGGCAGAGGTGAGAGCGCCAGCTTTGTCCACAGCCAGACCCAGCTCCACCGCAGCTGGACTCTCACCAGCTTGGGCATGTCCTAAGCCCATGGGTGGCTCACTTCTGCCATCCACATAACAGGTGACATCTCCTGCCTGCTTCCCCCCCACGCTGGTTTGGAGTTTGTCCAGAGCAAACCCAGGAAGGAATAGACTGAGAGGAGGGTGCTTCTGAAAGGACTCTCAGAGTCCTTCCTGGGGGTGGCTCAGGTGCGCCCCCTTAGTAAAATACCTCAGATGCAAGGGCAGGTCTTTGAGTCGTGATATGTGAGCACAGCCAGTCCCAGGACAGACTCCGGGGGCAGTGCCTGGGGATGACAGTGATCCAGCTGTCTGTCAGCACCTGGAGTGACGAGGTCTTCTAGTAAGGGCTTCTAGTGAGGCTCTGAGCACCGTGGCCCCCATCCTCTGCCTCTCAGCATGCTCACAGCTTGATCCCCAGGCAGCCCTCACCTGCCTGGACCCTGCACCTACCAACTCCCTGCCTCCTACAGGCTGTTTGACGTCGGAGGCCAGCGATCTGAACGCAAGAAGTGGATCCATTGCTTCGAGGACGTCACGGCCATCATTTTCTGTGTCGCGCTCAGCGGCTATGACCAGGTGCTCCACGAAGACGAAACCACGGTAAGTGGCCTGGGCCCCCCGGGCAGGGGGCAGCACTGAGGAGACAGCCGCAGGACAGGTGAGCCCTGTGAGCACTGGGCCTTGGGTGCCCACAGTGGCTCTGGGGTCCAGCCAGCTGTCACGGTTAGAGGTTTCCATCATGGGTGGGCCGTGCCGGCTCTCTCCACCAATTCTGTATTGCCAAGGCAAGTGCCTCATGATGCCAGTGTGACAGAGCCTATGTGTGCAACCTGATCACACATAGCCATGCAGAATGTGCCTCTTCCGTAACTTGGTGGAGTCACAGAGGCCATCAGGCCAGAGCAAAATTAAGCAAACCCTAAAAAAACAGGAGGCAGCCAAGCAAGAATGTACATGCAACAGAAATAGCAGTCTTAGCCTGACAGCCATCCCTGGGGCACTGGCCTCAGATGCTGCTGAAGCAGTATGGGGCCGGGGATGCTGAGGAAGAGGTGGGGAGGGCCCAGGATGCTGCAGGAGAGTTGTGTGGGGCTGGGGGTGCTGGGGAGCAGTGTGTGGGGCTGATGGGCCAGGAAGGGCAATGGGGATGGGACATGCTGGTGAGTGACAGTCATGGCTCTGGGCTCCTTTGCCAAATGCCAGATTCACATTCAGCCTGGGGCCTCAGTGAGGGGACATTCCCCTGGGAGAGTGCAGCCTTCCTCTGGGCCTAGTCCTGGCTCTGCTACTCACTGGCTTGCTGCTGAATTAGGCAGCACCTTTCCGGCTCAGTTACTGTTTTCCATAAAAGGGGGATAATAATAGTACCTGCCTGTTGGGGGCTGTCGGCAGTGGGATGGGTGATCCATGTGCAGCGCTCTGGAGCTGTTTCTGGGACAGCAGTGCCAAGCTGGTGGTTGTGCGGTGACTGGTGATTGCCCTGAGCCTGCGGGTCTACTCCATGGTCCCCTTCTGGGCTGCAGCCCACCAGGCACCGAGCATGGCCCACAGGGTCACTGGAGATAAGCCCCAACACTCCTGACAGTGGGGCCCACAGGCCGTGGGGTCACAGCCTGGCATCTGTCATCTCCTTCTGTCTGGAACACGTGCAGACCCCAACCCACGCCTCTGCGGGCTGGCACCGAGGGTTTGAGGTTGGAGGTGGAGCTTGTTGTCATGCTGGGCCTTGAGTGAGGCCTGTCTTCTCTCTGGGTCTGTTTCCTCATCATTTCTGGCCCAACTGGTCCACTGGGCTTTGCGAGGATGGGATGAGCTTTGGGGTGTGGGCTACTGGGCACAGTGCTATAGGGAGGAGGAGCCGCCGCCCTGAGGGGCTTACGCAGAGTGATGGGGCTTTGGGCTGGTGGTGTGGGTAGTCTGGACCCGTTCCGTGTAGAGGCTCACCCGCCTGGCTCTTCCTATTTCAGGCCCACCTGTACCCCTGACTTGGGTTTCTGCTGTAATTGTTCTCAATGGCATCTGCAGGCAGTGATGTCAGTCACCACCAGCTGAGTCTTGATGCTGAGTGGGGCAAGGGTGGATGCACTTCCTGGGCCATGCTTGGACCCAGACTCACTGGTCACCCAAAGCCCAGGTCAGCCTCCTAACCACGCGCCCGCACAGTGACTGCCCAAACATTTCCCACTCCCCACTGCTGGGCTCTATGCCACTGGGACCACTGCTCCAACTCCTGGGGTCTGAGTTCCACTTGGCTCATCTTTTTTCCCTGTGTCCACCATGGTTTCAAAGACAGCAAAGGAGCTGGAGGCAGGAAGCCAGGAGGGCCCTTCCCCCTGGAATCCAGCCTCTCCCTGGACTTGCCCTGCCAGGCCTGTGGGTGGCTTCAACCCCAGTCCCAGGCCCACCAGCCATGGGGCTGGGCTCTCACTCACCTCTGGAAGATGGAAACAAAGGGACGTCTGGGTGGGCCTAGCAGCCACAGGCCCCAAGCTCTGCGGCCCACGGCTCCCCAGTGAGCATGAGCCTGGTGCTGGGCCTGGCACTGGGTGACCTTCCAGCCTGTGGGCCTTGTTGCCTGGAGCACTTGCCCTCCAGTCTTCTCCACCTTCTCTCACCTTCCTTTTTCCCCGTTTCCCCCACCCTTCCACACAAGGGCTGGAGCAGAGGACCTTGGAGAAGCCAAAGCACATGGAGCCAAGGTCACAGGCAGGCTCTTCCTGTGTCCTTCCTTCCCCAAAGCTGGCCACCCTTCACAGCCCGGGGAAGAGTAGCAACTTGTGCAGGGAATGGGGATGACTTTGCAACCTGACAGCAGCCACAAAGGCAGCTCATTACCGTGGTGGCAGCAAGAATACTGCTGCTGTAGAACTCAGCAGTCGTCGCCGTGTGCTGGGGGCGCGTGCAGAGGTGGCAACTTGGGAGTCAGACAGATCTGGTCCAGGGTCTAGCATCGCCCCTGCCACCTCTGTGATCATGGGCAACCACCCCACCCTGCCCGGGCCTGCACCTCCTCCTCTGTAAATGGTGACGATGGTAGAATGGGCCTCGCAGGCCACATGAGGACCACTGGGCTAAAAGCTGTAAACGTGCCTGTATGCAGGAATCATCACTCAGTGAATAGCTCCTGCGGCTACTACATTCAGACGCCATGGCTAGAGATCAGGTTCTAGGATGTGGGAGCTCTGTCTGCCTCAGAGAGGCAAGAGCCAGGCCCCAGGGACTCAGGCTTTGGTCCTCAGCCATCCTCTAGTCAACGCTGCGCATCCCTCTCTGGCCTGGGGTGACAGCCCGCGACAAAGGTGTCTGGAAGCAGCTCCTGGAGCCAGGCCAGGAGAGCCCTGGGGCTGGTGGCTGCCACTGGCCCTCCAGCCGCCGTGTCCACTGCATCCCGGGAGCCCGAGAGCCTGGTCCTGGCCTCGTACCTGCTCTCAGCACCACCCAGCCGGGCCTGCGGCTGCCACAACTTCTCCACTACCACAGTCGCCGCCACCGCCTGCAGGGCCTTATCTTGCCAAACCAAGGCCAAAACCAGTTCTGAGAGACCCTCCAAGCCCGGAAGGTATGAAGCACCTCCCTCCAACCGAATCCATCAGCTAAGAGTTGAAAGCAGCAGGTTCTCAGGGCGCCGCTGGGTGACTTTGCTGTGACAACTGCCCAGCCTGCCCCTGCGCCCGCACTCCTCTCCAGCCACTTGGCCTGGGCGCCTCCTACCCATCCTGCATCTCTTGCCCTGTGGTCCACAGGCCCAGGATGGCCATGGCCCCTGTGAGCCCGCACAGAGCTCTCTGCAGGAACTGGCCGGGTGCCCTGGCCCTGAGACTGGTTGAACCAATTTTTCAGTATTTTTCTCTCTTTCTCCTGTTGGGTTTTTATCTTCTTCTCTGTTTTAATCTGTTTTGCTGTGTTTCATCTTGGGGTTCCTCTGGCCCCTCTACTGAGAAACCAGCCCCAACAACCAGTTCTCCCAGAGCCTCCCCAGCCCCAGCCCACCAACGAAACCACCAACCAAACCACCAACCAAGGCCACAGCAAGCTCACCCCCGAGACGCCATCCCCCTGGTGTCTGCTTCCAACTCGGGATTAATTCGAGGATCTCTTAGTCCTCGGTTAATGTTTCCCAACTGAATGCGTGCACCCTTCCAGCCTTGCTGTCGAAACCGAATGAGACCCTGGTAGAGAAATCTGCATGAGCGGGGTTCCGCGCAGATGCGTTCGGTGGTGGTTGCGGCCCCTGCCCTGTACGTGCATGGTGCATGTCCTCTCCATGAGCTGGAACCTCTCCAGTGACCTCACTGCCCCCACCTGGGGCCAGCTCTCTTTGGAAGGGGGCAGCATCCCCCAACCCTGCCCGGCCCTGCTCTGCCCCGCCCTGCCTGCGTGTGGAATGAAACAGGACCACGTCCCGTCTGTCCTTGTGGATCCTCCCGTCTCCGTCCTGGTGGTCTCTGTCCCGGTGGTGCGTCCAGCCACATTGGTGGACCTTCCCTTTGCTTGTCCCGCTGTGTCATTGGCCGTGGTGGGTCAGGGCTTTGGATGCTGCCGCCCCTCACTCACCCCTCCACTCTGTTGCAGAACCGCATGCACGAATCCCTGAAGCTTTTTGACAGCATCTGCAACAACAAATGGTTCACAGACACGTCCATCATCCTGTTTCTTAACAAGAAGGACATATTTGAAGAGAAGATCAAGAAATCCCCGCTCACCATCTGCTTTCCTGAATATACAGGTAGAGACCCCTCCAGGGACAGCAGGCCCCCGAGGGAGCGGGCCCCATTCCCAAAGCCCAGTCCACCCTTCCTGCGCTCTGTGGATGCCCCCGACTCTGCCACAGAGAATCCACACAAATGGGCCCCGCCCTGCCCCCAGATTGTGCTCTAGCGAGGAGGGGCAGCTAGCCGGGGCTTCCTCATCAGGGAAAGCAGGTGGAGCCCTGGCTCTGCCACTTATGAGCTATGTGACCATGGTGGCCTCTGGGAGCCTGAGCTCCACTGTCTGCGCACAGGGGCTCTCTGTGACAAGAGAACGCTGAGAAGATGAGGGGCGGGGCACAGAGGCTTGGAGTCAGGCAGCCCAAGGCTTATGGCCCAGCTCCGCCACTCACAAGCAGCTCAGGCAGGTCATGCAGCCTCTCTGAGCCTCAGTCTCTGGGTCTGTGAGGTGGAGTGATGGCTGTCATTGCCCTCGCCTCCCTCACCGGGTGCTGTGAGGAGGGAATGAGCTGATGGGCACGCAGAGCTTCGTGTGGTGCTCACATCGGAAGCTCCCCGCCTGTCTGCTCTTGCCTTTGGGGTTATGCCTGTAACTCACACGGGGCTGCTGCAAGATTCAAATCACATTGCTTTGCAAGCAGCAGAGCCCTGGCCCCCTACATAGGGTGCTAGGGATGAGAGGCCAGCCCTGCCAGTGCTGTGGTGGGTTTACCTGACCATGGGGTGGGTGGGCAGCCAGGAAGGCAGCATGACCAGGGTCTCCTGAGGAGCTGCAGGGTGGCGGCCCTGGTCAGTGACCCCAGAGCGGTTACAGGGCCCCAGCATAACCCGGGTGCCCATCAGTTCTTCTGAGATGGCGAGACCCTGACCAGAGAAGTGAGTGGGAGGAGAAGTGGGGCACCCTCAGCCCGACCTGCCCTGAAGCCTGGAGGGCACAGAGCAGGGGCCGACAGAGTCCCAGTGGGGCACCCCGGGGGCTTGGGGCCAGGCAAGCAGCACAGCTCTCCTACCTCCTACCTCCACCCATCCCCCATAATCAGACTGAGTGCCTGGCAGGCCAGTACCCAGGCATGTCCAGCTGTAGTTGAGTAGGGCTCAGCCTCCCTAGAAGCTCCCAGCCAGCTTCCTCTCTAGCCATAGTTGAGGGCCTGTGGATCCTGCCCTAGTGACCTGGGCTTGTGGCCTTTGGGGCAGTGGAAACAGGTGGGGTAGGTCAGTTACCAAGGCCAGTTTGGGGCTGAAGTGGGGAAGGAGGAGGGGACAAGGGAGGCTGAGTAGTCAGCTGCAGTCCTAGGACACTCCCCAACCTCCAGCCCAGATTGAGCAAAGAGCTGAGGTCTGGCAGACCCTCCAGGCTTTCTGCACAGCAGCCTACTCCAGCTTAGAGCTGTGGCTCTGAACTCCAGCTCCCCTCCCTGCTGCCCCCTCCACGGATTGTCACAGCCCTGCTTGTGCCTGGCAGGGATTCCTGGAGGCTGAGGGCCTTCAGTGCAAAGCTGGGGTCCTGTTCTTCTGCCCCTTCCCAAACTAGAAGCTTCTCTTCTAGACTCTCCTCTCCCTGTGTCTACCTGGGAACCAGCTCAATGTGGTGTCTCCGAGGAAGGTAGCATCTGAGCCAGGCGGTTGTTAATCCCCTGTGAGTGAACATCAGAAACAAGAAGTTTGTAGGCTCCTCCTCCCACCTGGCCCAGCAGTGGCCGCAGGAGGTGATGTCAAAGCCTGCTCTGTGAACTCCTAAAGGCAAAGGCCCACCCACAGGGCATGCATCAGCCAGGGCTACCTGCATGAGCCCAGTGCCCTCAAACCTCCTTGCACATGACCCACGGTAAGATGCAACATTTGCCTCAGGAGTCCATAAATGACTGGGCGTGGTGGCTCATGCCTATAATCCCAGCACTTTGGGAGGCTGAGGTGGGCGGATAGCCTGAAGTCAGGAGTTCGAGAACAGCTTGGCCAACATGGCAAAACCCCATCTCTACTAAAAATACAAAAATTAATCGGGCGTGGTAGCGCACACCTGTAATCCCAGCTACTTGGGAGGCTGAGGCTTGAGAATCACTTGAACCTGGGAGGCAAAGGTTGCAGAGAGCTTTGATCACGTCACTGCACTCCAGCCTGAGTGACAGAACAAGAACAAGATTCCATCTCCAAAAAAAAGAAAAAGGAGACCATAAATGCATGTATAAAAGGAAAATGGAAGTTTCACGAAACAGTGCTCCCTTTAATACAGGTGATTGGCTGGGCACAATGGCTCACGCCTGTAATCCCAGCACTTTACGAGGCTGAGATGAGAGTATCACTTGAGCTTAGGAGTTCAGGACCAGCCTGGCCAACATAGTGAGATCCCATCTCTATTAAAAATAATAATAGTAATAATTAGCCAGGTGTGGTGGTACATGCCTGTAGTTCCAGCTACTCAGGAGGCTGAGAAGAGAGGATCAGTCACTTGAGCCCAGGAGGTGGAGGCTGCAGTGAGCCCTGATTGCACCACCACACTCCAGCTTAAGCAACAGAGCAAGACCCTATCTCAAAAAAAAAAAAAAATAGATAAATACAGGTGATATACTGAGAGACCTGATATTTTGTATCTTTCATGACTTTTACACTGTCCCACTGACTGGATCCAGGACCCCCTATTGACTTTGCTGACCCCTCAGGTCCCCTCCATCAGGTTTTCCCTGTGCAGTTGTCTCTGATGGCCACACAGGCCAGGCTGGGTTCGTCCACGCCAGGCAGTCCCATGGGCCTCTCGCCTCACCACACCTCGCCTGTTTGCTCTGCAGGCCCCAGCACCTTCACAGAAGCTGTGGCTTACATCCAGGCCCAGTACGAGAGCAAGAACAAGTCAGCCCACAAGGAGATCTACACCCACGTCACCTGCGCCACGGACACCAACAACATCCAGTTTGTCTTTGACGCCGTGACGGACGTCATCATCGCCAAAAACCTGCGGGGCTGTGGACTCTACTGAGCCTGGGCACCCTGCCCGGCACCCTTGCCCTGCCTGGCCTGCCGCCCCCCTCCCCTGGAACCAGGCTCCACCACTCTCAGACCACTCTTTGCACTTGAGGAAGAAGACCCCAGAGGCTGGCACCAAGGGAGGGAGGAGGGAGCATCCTCCACCTGCACCCCCCAAAAGAACTCGTGGTAACGCATGGGCGGGGCGGGGCCGCTGAGTGCATGCTGCAAGGCCAGGAGACTCCGCCGCTCAGAGCCTCTGCGTCATCTCTGAGTGCTTTATCAGGAAGCTGTGGGGGCAGGGCAGGGCCGCCGTGTGGCCCAGATGGGCACACCCTGCACCTGATGTCTCACTGGAAGCCTCAGTGTCCTCCTGTCATCTTGCATGGTGCAGTGGCGCAGACAGCCCTGCAGCAGGGTGCTGGCAGGGCGGGGTCATAGGAGCCATCCTTCTGCTGTGCCTGGGGTCTCTGGTGGAGGGCAGTTCCGTCAACGAAAGCCAGGGTGGGACCAGGTCAACTTGGTATGGGTGGGAGGACTCAGGCCTTGGCGATGGCCTCCATCTCCCTGCTCCCTCCCCTGGGTCTCAGCCCTTCCTTCTCTGGGTCGTCCTCACTTGCCTTTGCTCTCCCAGAGAACCCCCATCCCTGACTCCTCCGAGTTCTGGAAATGCTTCTTGAGACTGACTTATGGCTCAGATAGATGGTGGCGGGGAGGGGAAGAGGGAGAGGTGGGAGGCACGGGGGAGGTAGGTGGAGGCTCCTGTGTCGCCTGGGCTGGGGCCTCCCGCCCAGTCCTTGCAGGCCAAGGGTGACCCATTTCCTTTTTCCAGTCACCAGGAGCTCGGGTGGTCACTCTGAGGTGTGAATAGATATGTTTTTTCTTCAGTCCACACTGAATTCAACTCAAACCAGCAAAGGCCTTCGGGCTGGGGATTCTGTAGCTGCAGAGGTCTGGGCGGGACAGAAGGTGGGGTATGGTGTGCAGCCAGTGCCCTGCCTCACTGTCTTGGTGAAGAAATCAGGGAGTTTGTCCGCAGCCGTTGGTGTCTTCTCAGCCCCTGGGGATAGAGGACAGCAGGGGATGGAGCTGACACCCTGGAGTATTTGGGCCCAGGCCAGCACAAACACACTCCCCTGTCCCCCACTCTAAAGGGAGAGTCCTAGGACCCCTTAGAGGAGGCCTCACTGCCCAGATCCCTGAGCAGAAGAGGGCGGGGTAGCTTCTCCTGGGGACGCAGGTCTGGCTGGCCTTGGGCAACCAACACACCTCTCCCACTCCGAGATGCCTCCAGGTGGCTGAGGCCACCGCCCACACCCAGGCCAGTCGTGTGCTTGTACAGCAGGCTGTGCCTGGTGATGTAGATGTGCCATGGAGGGAGGAGGGTACCCCCTACAGGCCTCTGCCTCCCTCCTCAAGCCCTCTGTTCTCCCTGCCCCGACTCTGGACACTGCTTAGTCCCCGGACAGGCAGGGCCCCTGGGTTTCCACTTGTAGCCCCCGGACTGCCCCAGAGCCAGGAAGCGCCAGTGCCAACAGCTCTGGACTTGTTGGACCCACAGGCACAGAGCTCTCAGTGGGGCCCAGGAGACCCAGGGACCTTCCATAGTGCCAAATGCCTGCAGGGACCAGTGCCTGGGAAGCCTCTGGCAGCCAGGCTGCGGGAGTCCCCCATCAGCCCACGTCCATTCTGTTTTGTGCACCTCGGTCATGTTTTGGACCTTGCACCAGGTGCTGGGGCGTGGCAGAGGACAGGCCCTGGGAACCCAGTGTCCTACCATGGACATTGGGCAGCTAAGCCATCCTGCCCAATATGGAAGACATGGCAGTTATTTCTCAGCAGCACCACCCTGGGTGAGGCCGGCTGTGCCCCTAACTCTGCTCCAAACTGTAACCCCAGGCTCAGAAGCAGCCGGCAAAAGGGGGATGCTGGCCACGCTCCACCTCTAAGGCCATCACCCTGGAGGTGGAAGTCACTGGGCTGAAGGGCTCTTCATATCCCCCAGCAACCTCCCTCAGACCACAGTGGCCAGAGCACCAGGCTGGGTCCAGGCTCCTGATCCAGGCCTTCCCTGTCTATAGAATTGGGGCTGGAGGAGTGGGTGCTCAGGCCTTCCCGCCGTCCATCCCCGGCCTGCCTTTCTCTTCCCTTGGATGCTCCAGCCTCCTCAGTTTCTTGCACTGCTCTCAATCCTCCCACCCTGGCCTGGGGGGGTCCTTGGCCCTCAGGGGTATCCAGGGAGAAATTATCTCCCTGTGCGTGACGCCTGTCATCCATGTCGTAACCGGTGGCTCCACCTTGTGGGTGGCGACTGAGGGTGACAGATAAGATTTGGCTCCGTCGTGGATGTGGATGTGGGAGGAATGTTGTGAGTGACCAGACATGGGTGCGTTTCTAATCCACAGTGGTCCTGTGTGTGCCCTGAGGGGCCATGCTAACCTCTCCTATGGCTCGGATTTAGCAGGCCAAGCAGAAACTGATTTCTACAAAGAACGTCTTTGCCAAACTCATGAAAATTATGCCTGCCACTTTCATGCCTATGGGCCAGTTTTGTGACCTGCGCCACTGGCAATCATAAGAACCAGGTCTTGGCCTTCCCTCTGAGCACCAATAGAGGTCCCCAAGGCTCTCTGGCCTGAGTAGGGCATGGGGTCTGCCCAGCCCCAAGCAGAGAGCACAACCTGGGCCCCTGGCCAACAGCTTTGGCATTCTGGGTTCCATGGGGACCCTGGAGCTCAGGCAGAAGACCACCATGCCTGCTGCCAGGACGCGGCTGTCTGCCAGGCCCTCCCCACAGCCCAGCTCCCTCTGGCAGGAACTGGAGGCATCTCTGCCCTCCATGGTCTGCACTGGTCTTCCCTGAGTGTTCTTAGGAGCAGAGGCAGCCCCAGGTTCCCACCTGCAAGCCCTGTCACTAAGCTGTCTACAAACCCCAACAGGGAAGACCCCGGGGTGGTCTCACCCACGCCCTTCCCTTTGGCCAACATGAGTCCTGCAGTGGGGAGCTTAGTCCCTGCTCCCACCTAACACTCTACAGTTAGCACCCAGGGGTTGATTCTGGAAGTTCTTCCTTTTTCTAGCCTGCATCCTTCCTGGTCACCCCCTTTATTTCTCAGTCTGACCTGGTGCACTCTTGGCAAGTAAGTTCCCTGCAGTCCCAGGTGGATATTTAATGAGCACGCCAACTGTTTCCTCCAAGTCAGCGAGTGGCCTGCCCTCCCCCTTTTCAAGAAGTCTGGGGCACAGAGCCTCCTCTGGCTGCCTCTTCTCTTCTCTGAGCCTCTGGGAGCCTTCAGGCACAACCTGGCAGTTCTTAGGAGCCGAGACCTGAGGCTCCAGCTCCCCGGCCACCAGAGATTCAGTGTGCAGTGCTGAAGGCAGTCACCCTCAAGCAGTTCCTGCTGTCAGGCTGCAAGCCTAGAGTGCAGGATCCCAGCAGCCCAGGGAACAGGACCGGGGCGTGAGCTGCTGCCGTGGGGTCTGTGGTAGGGCTCCCCATCTCCCACCCCTCAGCAAGAAGAGTCCTGAGCCCACCCTGCCCAGAGAGGAGCTGGGGCCTCCAGACAGACCCCACTCCAGCCAGATGAAGGCCCCTGTCAAAAAAGAGGCAGGCGGGGGGGAGAGCAGAAAGAATGGCCCCGAATCCAAACTCCTGGATCCCCTTCTTGAGAGAGGGGCTCCCCCTGGAAGAGAAGCTCTCATCCCCAGGCCCAGTGCAGCAAGACCACCAGCAGAGACCCACTGCCCTTCCTGGCAGAGCCAGCAGCTCCGAGGCACTACTGCTCTCCTCCCTTCCCTCCCCACTCTCCCCTCCCTTTCCCTCCCCTCCACACCCACCCTGTTACTCCCACAGCTCTGGGCAGCCAGGCCCTCCCCTCCTGCCTCCTGGTCTTCTCTACTCCGCTGGTTCTGACCCATCCCTTGGCTCTGCTGGCCATCCCTCACCCTACCCCTGCTGAGTACCTTCTGCCTCCCCACACACCCCCCTTCCCCGTCTAGGCCAGGTGGGCTCAGGTGTCCCAGGCCCTCCTTAGAAAAGCCGCCTCTCTCAAGTGCAGTGGTCCCCTCCCACCCCCGTCGCTGCCGCCCACCCCGTATTAACTGTAATTTTGTAAGAAGAGTGACTTGTTGGTTTAATAAATCTCTAGTTATTGTAATAATTTATTGGCTGCCATAATGTATTTATTAGTCGCCTACCGTTAATAAACAGTGCCCGCTTTCCTAGCATGAGTGTGATGTGTTGTCAGGGCCCAGGGAGCTCCTGCCAGGGGCACTTGCACGATGTGTGTCCTCGGGCCCTGCCCCATCCTGGTCCCAGGACTGCGGGCAGCCTGGCGGAGCGGGCACACTCCTGCTGGGGACGGAGAATCAGGGCAACTGGGCGCCCTGCCCTCCTGTCAGGATCACCATCTGGTAGGAGGCTGCTCCGTTGCTGCACTGCGCCGAGCCACCTTCCTGTCCTGGAGAGCTTGGTGCCCACCTGGACACTGCTGTGGGTGACGCAGCAGTGGCCATGGTTGTACTGGCACCGCTTCCTGCTGCTCCTGGGCCTCCACTGCAGCCTGGGGCAGGTGGAGGTCTCGGGGGTTGGCTGTCGGCCATCTGTGACCTCTGGCTTCTTTCTCTTTTCTCGAATGGTGGTATCTCTTCTTTGAATGTAGCCCGGCGTCTGCTTCCTCCGGGGAGCTTGTGAGGATGAGCTGTGCTCTCAGCTCCTTGGCAATGGGCTCCACGCAGCGTGCCAAGGGAGGGCAGTCAGGCCTGGGGGGCTGGCAGGGGTCTCAGTGCCGGCGCCTCCCCTGCCCTGCAGGATCTCCCCTCCTCACTGCCCTCCCCAAGTCTCCAGGATCAGCCACTTTTTGGGGCTCCCTCCAAGGCCCTCTCCCCATAAAAACAGGCTTGGTTATGCCTGTCCTCTGCTCCCCAAGTCCTCCCCTGCGCTGCCACTCCTGGGACCACAGACTGTGCGTCATCTTTCTCCAGCTGGACTCTCAGCTCTCAGAGAGCAGGAGCCTAACGTGGTCATTCTTATATCCTCGGGGCAGCCCAGCAGAGAGCCCTGCACGTAGATGCCAGGCAGTACTGACCGGAAGAGTGAGTGCATGTGAGTCATGCTCTGTGGCCCTGAGGCGTAGGGCTGTGGCGGGGGCTCAGCCTTAACCAGTGGAACTGTGGAGCCTGAATGAGCCGGCTTTGATTTCTCCTCCACACCTAAGCTCAGTGGCCAAGGGGGCACAGTCCCCACTCCCAGCTCAGGTCACTCTAGTGGCTGCTCCTGGCAGTGCCTGGGCAGATGTGCAATGGAGGAGGGAGCTTGGCTCTGGCTGTGGGTTTCCAGCTCTTTGTTACGCAGCTGCAGGCCGAGGTGGCTCTGTGGAGTGGGGAGCGTGTTCCTGTGGAATCATTGGGGTCTCAGAACCTCACCACTCTGGCCTCATATGCGGCTCAATGAACTTGAGTGTGGACGGCCCGAGGCCCTGGACACAGGTTCACTGGGCCTCCCAGAAGCCTCCGGTTGCCCTTTTCTGAACAGACCCCAATGAGGTGGCTCAGGGCAAGCGAGATCTGCTTCTTCCCGGTGGGATCACACAGATGACAGGAAAATGCTCCTGGAGACTGAGAATGACTGAGGATGGGAGAGTGATGAGATCATGTGCGTTTACTGAGTCTGTTCAGCAGAATGAAAGGCCAGTGCCATGTACTACAGCTCCTGGGGCTGGGGAATAAAGCCATGCCAGCTGTCCAGGTGCCCCTGAGAGGCAGCTGAGAACTCTGCCCCTCTACCTACCAACTTCAGCCAATAAGAACCAGGGGCTGGGGCTGGCCGCCTTTACAGGTCATGGTAGAATGATGCAGGCATCGGGGAGATACCGAAGGGAGGACTGGCTGTGAGATGCGCGGAGCCCGCCATGCTGCTGTTAGTATTGATTCCTCGAAAGCCCCACAGCCTGATACGGACTGGAGAGACCCATTGCATAAGTTCTGGATCTGGCCCATCTGTGTCACCGCGGTGTCCCCTCAGGCCGGATGAGGTTAAGTGACATAAGGCAGGGAGAGCGCTGGTACAGCATGGTCCTCGGTGACTGGTGTGGTCACTTCATCTTCGTCACCCTCCTTCTGCTCAGAGGGGGACGGTGCGGCAGTGGAACCAGCAATTCCTCAGCACCCACAGTGTGCTCATCCCTGGGGGAGATCATCTCCCCATAGATGCCCAGTGGCATCTACGCCAGCTCTCTTCTTTTTCCTGTTACTTGTGTTACTCTTCTTATTTCAGAGGTAGAATTTAGCCTGGGTCACCTCTGAGCTTTAGATCCAGGGAGCTGGGTTTACAGTGGGCACATTTCCAGGACTAGGACAGGGTTCTTGGGGAAAATAAGCGGAACTGTCCCTTCCTCCACCTCCCTGTGCAGGAATGGATTCAGTCACAGAGACTAAGATGCCCTGTGTACTGCTGAGAAACAGACTACCCAAGTGAATGTGCTCAGGGTCCCAAAGCAGAGTTTTTGCCCAGGGCAGAAGGCTGGCCCCTCGGTTCGGCTTCTTTGGGGTGCCCATCATGTTCATCCATTTGCTAAACAGGCTCCTGTGTGCAGGGCAGCCCTCCACATCTGCCTTGCTTAGAACACCATGCAGTGTCAGATGCGGCTGAGGAGGACCCAGCCAGAGGAGGTGCGGCCAGTCCCCCAGGCACTCCTGGAGGTAGCCCTGCCAGGAGCCTCTCCCCTGAGTGGTGGCCCCCAGGAGGCGGGCAGGACGTGGCATGCCTTCCCCTCAGGCCACGGGAAGGGCCTGGAGTCTCTCACCACTCCCAGAGGACATCCCCCCACCCAGGATGGGCCCGGGAGGAGAGGTCTAGGCAGGAAGGGCCAAAGCCCAGCTCTCCGGCTCCAGTCCAGACTCCACCACCCCCAACACACACACACAGAGGCACACACACAGGCGCACACACACTCAGGCACATGGATGCACAGGCATGCACACACAGGTGCACACACATAGGCACACATGCACACGTGCACACACAGGCACACATAACAGGTACACGCACACACACACACACACAGGCACACAGGCGCATGCACACACACGGCCACACACACGTGTGCTGGGAGACCTTTGCATAGCTGGGAGCTCTGCAGTGGGGAGAGCCTGGGTCACCCTGTCCTCAGCCTCCCCAGAGAGCCATGGCTGGTGCCCAGTCCAGTCTCTGCCTCTGGCCCCAACATGACAGGTTCTCTGGAAGCAGGGAATGAGATGTGCTGTGAGGTGTGACTGATTCAGGTTCCATCTGGCAGCCTCTCGGAGGAGCTGCCGAGTAGCCCAGTCCCTCTCTGTCAAGCCTAATTCTCTCCTTCTCTTTCCCTGTCTCTGTGTGTCCCTCCCGCTGTCTGTCCTCTCTCCTCCCTTCCTGCGGCCGCAGAACCGCATGCACGAGTCTCTCATGCTCTTCGACTCCATCTGTAACAACAAGTTCTTCATCGATACCTCCATCATTCTCTTCCTCAACAAGAAAGATCTATTTGGCGAGAAGATCAAGAAGTCGCCTTTGACCATCTGCTTTCCTGAATACACAGGTGGGTGCCAGGCAGTCCTGTGCAGGGGGAAGCCTGCCCCTGACAGGGACCCATGGCTCAGAGAACAGGCTGCTCGGCCAGCACTGCTCGGGCTAGCTGGCGAGCGGGACCCATTGCAGGAGTCTGGTGGGGCGCAAAAGAAAAACAGCGCTGTGCCACCAGGTTTGGGCTTCCCAGGACACAGCCCTCAGCGTGGTGAGAATGGCCCCTCCTAAGATATATGTGGTAGGACCCAGTCACTCAGGAGTGACATTGTGGGGAGCAGGGGGCAGGACGGGATCACAGGCTTCCCCCTTCCTTCTGGTCACCCTCTAGGAGAGATCTCAGGATAGCCTCCTGTAATCTCAGCAGTGGCCTCCCCTCACCCCTGCCCAGGGCCACACAGCACCTTTGCATGAAACCAAAAGGTGGACACATGGCTTGTGAGCAGGGTGTGGGCTGCCTCTTGGCCCCACCTGCTTTCTCTGCTCCCTGTTTCGGTGCCCAGAACATGCTTCATCTCTGTGCAGCCGCCCAGCCAGACCACTCCACCCGCCCCACATCGTGCCCGCCTTCCTTCCCCAACCCCAGCCCCGTGCCCGCCTTCCCTCCCCAACCCCAGCCCCGTGCCCGCCTTCCCTCCCAACCCCAGCCCCGTCGCACCTCCCCTCTCCCCTTCTTCCTCCGCCCCTGGTCTTTGCCCCAAATCCAACCACTCCAGCTATCTGCAAGCCTCCTCCATCCTTGCCTCAGTTTCTTCTGACTTCTCTGGGGCTTTCTTCTTGCTCTCAGGGGAATGTATCACAGACCTCCCCACCCCCCTAAATGAAGCTCTTTCCAAATGGATGATGAGGGAGGGTGGCTTCTGTGGGATGGGCCAGCTCTGGGCTGCTGCTAATGCCTAAAAGCAGCGTTGATGGGATGCCAGAGCCCAGCCCTGGTCCCTCTAGGGGCTGGGAAGCTTCCAGAGGTCCCTGGGGTAGGAGTCGCCTTTGCAGGCTGCAGAGTATGGAGGGCCAGCACCCTGCCATGGAGCAGGAGGTGTCTTGTCATCCGCCAGGTCAGGGCACAGGTTGGCTCGGCCAAGAACCCATGTTCTGACAGCCCCGGAGTAAGACTTTGGGCTCAGTCCCAGGGCCACATGGGTCCCCAAGCCCAGCCACAGGGCGCCACATCCAGCATAGGTCGATGCCCGTCTCCCCACCCTTCCCCACAGCTGGGAGCAGTGTGTGAAGAAGGGCTGTCAGCTGGTTCTGAGCACAAACCATGTCCTCACTGACAGTCCATGCTGATGTGAATTTGCAAGGTGGTTCTTGCTCTTCCCAAGGTGCAGAGTGGGAGGTGGGGCCAGGAACTATGCACTGCGCTCAAGGCTCTCGAACAAAGAAAGACCCAATAGGGCAGGCAGCCCAGGTGGCCTCTGCAGCCAGACCACCTGCAGCTCAGCAAGTTGCTCAGTCACCTGTGCCTCATTCTAATCTGGTCAACACAATGGATAATCATGCCCAGCCCAAGGGTGACTAGAGGCACAGCTACTTGGTGCCAGGTCTACAGAAGCGCTGGCTGTGGCTGCCATTGGTATTATTCAGAGGATGGAAACTAGGGGAGGGGGAACTGGCCATGGAGAAGGTGCCCTCTGCAGGATGGAGTGAGGGCAGGAGGCACAAGACA